ACCCCTCCACATATATATATATATGTATATGTATGTTTGTAGATATGTATGTATGTAGATTTTTGATACACATACATGTATATGTATGTATTTATGTATGTATGTATGAATGCATGTATGTATGTATGTATGTATGTATGTATGTATGTATGTATGTGTGTATATATATATATACACATACACATATATGTATACACATTCAATTCTGTTCCTTATGTGTATATATGTAGTCAATGTAGTCTTTCGATTTTATGTTGTATGTTTTGTGTTTCTGCTACATGTTGCATATTGTGTCGTAGATCCTGTATACTATATGCTGTATACGAGCTACTATTTGTGTCATGTGTTTCATTTTCTATTGTGCGCTGTACGTTTATATACCATACAAAGTAACATATAATTGATATTCTAATTTATATAGTCTTACTATACCTCTGATATGCCACATTAGATAGCATATACTATGTGTTAGATATATTATGCCCACCGTGTCTCCTGCCTGCATTCGCACAGCTCCCCTCGAAGCAGGAGCTGGTGCACAAGTTCAAGGAGGAGCAAACCACTTCAGCTTTGAAGGCCGTTGCAGGATTCGTAGGGTTTGGGTTTAGGGTTTAGGATTTGGTTGCTTTGAGTATCCTGGACTCTTTGGATGTGGGAGTTTCCGAAATAGGGGACCCTAAAATGATACCAGAAATACTCGGACCCCAAAATAAGGTACCCGAAGTTTTGGAAACTCCCATGTGGCTTCAAACCCTGAGGCCCTGAGGTTTGCGCGACTGGAGTCGAGAGCCCTGGCAGGCCATCGACGTGAGGGCCCGCGCGGCATTCTTCGCGGAAGTTCGCCTGAACCTCTTCAGGCAAGTCATGGGGTTAGCTTTTGGGAAGCTTCCGCTGCCAGTTCAGTTTGAGCCCCAAAGTTCGTCCCAGCGCTATGCAAGATGTTCGATAGTTGTGGCCTCGCAGACGATTTCAATCAGGTTTAGCCGTGGCTTTGCAAAGAGAGCCCGCGGCTGTCAACACCTGTGTGCTCTGCGTAGTGCATAATTCAATCAAACGTCTTTTCCTCTGGATGCATGTAGGACGTCGCACGGATTGCCGTAGGATTTGCATGATGTGGTACCCGTCTGGGAGCATTGACAGCATCGATCCCGTGCCAGGTTTTCGGAGACGGCGCAGAAAGAGCTTGTTGAGACCTTCACAGACCTAAAGGCTGAAGTGGTGAAGTTGGTGGACTCGACGACACAGGCACAGTTGGGTTGCGGCTTGACTGAGAAACGTGATAATCCACGATATCGGGCATCTGCTGCTTGCATATCTGTTCAAGAGCACACTGCGCTGCAGCACAGCGAACCACGCTTGCTTTGGAGATTGGGGCCAGCCCTCGAGTGTCCGTCGCCTCTAGCTGATTCTAGAGCCATGGCATTCACTCCCATCGAGTCTGGCGTGGGCGGCCTGCTCATTGGCCTGTCGGCCGCACTGGCGTACCTGGGGGACGGGAAGATCACAGGCATCAGTGGCATCGCAGGGCCCTTCTTGCGTGGAGTCGGAAAGTGCCAGCCGATGAAGGATGGTCAGCTTTGGAAAGCCCTTTTTCTGGTCGGGCTGCTCAGCGGTGGTCTTCTGAACTTGGCCTTCAACCGAGACTTCGCCTATCCTCGGGCCTTGGACCTCCCAGTGGCGAGGTATTGCTTGGGCGGTGTCTTCGTTGGCATCGGCACCAGAGCTGGTCGCGGGTGCACCAGTGGACACGGCATCTGTGGACTTCCGCGCCTTGCGCCTCGCAGCTGGATTGCGGTGCCGACATTCATGGGTGTAGCTGCTGTAACCGTAGCAGTGACCCGGCATGCAGCCCAGCTTGATGCCAGTGGTCCCTGGGGAGTGGCAGAGCTCCAGTGGCCACCCAAGTGGGAGTTCCCTCTTGCAGCAGCCTTGTCCAGCCTGGCACTGGCTGCTCTGGCTGTGTTCCTGCCGTCCAAGCCTCGCAGCTTCGTGTCACCGGTGGCGTGTGGGATGATCTTCGGCTTGGGCCTGGGCGTCTCGGGCATGACCAGTCAAGCGAAGGTCTTAGACTTCCTGGACTTTGGGGGTACCTGGGATCCGAGCCTGGCCTTCGTGATGGGCTTGGGGCTCTGCGTCTCCTTCCCGGCGTTCTTGCTGGCAGATCGACAGGACAGGAAGCCTCTCTGCGGAGAGGAATGCAGCTTCGAGCGGCCATCCAAAACCGGAGACTACGGATCGCTGGTGCTGGGTGCCACATTCTTTGGCCTCGGATGGGGCATGGTCGGCATCTGCCCAGGACCTGCGCTGGCAGGCATGATCCCGTACCTGGTGGGCGGTTGGGGTCCCGGCCTGTCCTTCGGCCTTTGCGTGCTGCTGATATTGTTGTCCTGGCTGGTGACGGACCGTGTCATCAGTCACTTGAACTCCCAGCCGGCCTCGGAACCGAAAGTTGTGGTGCCCGCAAACGAAAGTGCTTAGGCGCAGAACTGCGCTGTCTCGGCTCTTTTGAAATTTTGTGCAAGAATTTGACGGTCCGGCTTTCAAGCTTGCTTTTGACAAGCCGGGCCCTCTTGGTCTTTTCAGGCCCAGTGTTCGTCGCTGCTTGAGATGCTTGTTGAGCAGCAGGTGGTGGAATACAGGAAACAAGTATTTTCCTTTCGGGCCATGAAGCTCTGCTCTTGCCCCGTGCAAGAAGCTCGCTGCTCAAGCAGCAGCTTAATCGGCTCTATCGACCCAGCAACGCTGCAAAACCTCCCAAGAATTCGACCTAGATGACTCTGCATGGCTCATGTCTCGGCAGCTCATTGACATCGTTTCAGGCCAGTTCCTTGCAAGCGCGGCCCCAAATTGAAATCAGACACTTAGACTTAGAGACTCAGACACTCAGACACTCAGACACTCAGACACTAAGACTCTCAGACGCTTATAGACGCTAAGACACTCAGACGCTCAGACGAGACAGGCGCTAAGGTGACGCTCAGACCCCAATTTGAAACCGGACACTCAGACACTCAGACTCTCAGACGCGCAGATGCTCACACGCTCAGACACTCAGACGACACACTGAGACACTCAGACCCTCAGAAGCTCAGACGCTCAGACGCAAGTGTCTCTTCGTCCCGTCTCGAGGGTTGCAGTTCATGCGCAGGCCGCTAAGCCGATCTGTAGCCAGTTATGACAGTATGTGCTGCCTCCAGATGACAGGAAGTTGCGGCTTGGCTCGATGAGGAGCAGATGGTTATAGCATTCGGTCGAAGCCAGATACTATTGGAATGCAAGTTGGAGCAAACTACATTGCAAGTAGTCTGTCTGGTGCTTAGTAGGGAATGGGGGAATGGGTAATAGGGACTACTATAAGTTAAGGGACTATCATAGGGATCCATTCCCCCATTCCCTACTAAGCACCAGACAGTAGTGTGCATAGCATGGTTGCAAGCAGGAGCGCGTCGCTGTGGCCTGGCGCAACCAGGCGAAGCAGGCCACCCTTGCACTAAACCTGCAATTTCTTGGTTTAGGGATTTAGGGGTTTAGGGTTTAGGGCTTGGGGCCCGAGGCCGGCAGTCGACATGGAGTTTAGGGTTTAGTTAGGGTTTAGGGCCTAGGGAACAAAACCTATGAGCCCAAGCCCTAGACCGTGTTGTTCAGAGCCATCTTGGTTGTAGGCCTCTTCCTCTGTCTGGCTCGTCACGTAGCAATATAGGGGCCTCAATCATTACCTTTGCTATTTTGGGGGTTCCCTATTATAATTGTAGTATAACCTACCCAAAACCCTACTCTAAGAACTAAGGCCCCTACAATAGTAGGCATCTGCGATGTTTGCCGACTCGGGCTCAAGACTTGGAGGGTTTTCCACCATGCCACCGAGAAATGGCAAAGCTCGTGAAAGGGGATTCTCAGCTTGCAAGATTGCAAGAATCAGGGTTGAGGGTTTATACCTCCGGTTTAGGGTTTAGGGTTTAGGGGATTCTCAGCTTGCAAGAATCAGGTTCGAGGAGGTCATCCGCCAAGCTTGCAAAATTTTAGAACAGCACTCGCCCAGGTACCGTGGTTGCTTGGAAAACAGCCGACTATGGCTTCGTGAAGCGCGAGGGCCGTCATAACGACGACATCCAGCTCCATGTCGCAAACGCCAAGGGGGAGCGATTCAAGAACTACATCCGGCGCAACGGCGTCGCGCCAGGTGTCCGGGTGAAGTTCGACGTCGACTTTGAGGCTGTTGGTGAAAGCAATCCATACATCCACTAGACGTAATTAGGAGCGACAGATAGCCCTGCATATTCCACCGTTTTCACGCCACTGACCCGCTCCACTCATGCGTCATGATTGCTGTGCAGGAAAACAGAGGGAGGCCCTACGCCGCCAACTGGGCATGGCACTTAGTGGTTCAGATATTTGCGCAGTGATTGCAGACCTCTTTCGCTAAACCTTATACCTTCAACACTTGCCTGTGAAGACTTCGACTTTTCCAACACGGAAGACCTTCTAGCGCCTGGACCCTTACATATCCTCTATAGAACTCCTCTCAACCCTACACCCTTGCAAATTATTTAGACAGCCATACAAAACCTTTGTGAAGCCCTTGCACAAGCCCTTGCAAAACCCGATCTTTCTGGCCAATGTAGTAACCCTAGAGCCTAAACCCTAAACCCTAAACCCTAAACCCTAAACCCTAAACACTAAACCCTAAATCCTAAACCCTAAGCCCAATGTAATAACCCTGAACTTCCAGAATCCCAGACTGAGGAGCTGGTTGACCCGCCCAAGTTCTCCGAGAGCCCGAGTCGTAGCCGCGGACGCCGGAAGTCACCCCGGAAGTCACCCAGCCCGCGAAGGACGGTTTTTTGTGGAGTTTCGGGTTTAGGGAGTTTCGGGTTTAGGGTTCAGGGTCGGGGTGAAGGGTTTAGGGAGTTTAGGGTTCCAGATGTTCTGCAAGAAAGTTTGAAGCAGAGCAGAAAACACCGAACAAAAGCAGGTAGGTTCACACGAGACAGGATAGATAATGCTACTTGTGCTATTGATATCAGGGGGACAGGCAAACCGTCGGAAGTATAGAAACACTGGTCATTGTGAGGATTTCTCAAGCCAAGATGAGCTGAACCGGTGTGTTGCTTGCATAGTCTCAAACCCTTAAACCCTCAAGCAATCCGCGAACGATCAACAATACCTTAAACCCTAAACGACCAAGTATACCCTAACCACACCCCACACCCATGGAACAAATTGCCTTAAGCCTGAACCCTAAACCCCCAAACCCCCAAAGCCCTAAACCCTAAACCCTAAACCCCTAAACCATAAACCCCTAAACCCTAAACCCTCAATCCCCAAACCCTAAAACCCGAAACCTAAAACCCTGAGCCTAAAACCATAAACCTAAAACTGCGGGAGGAGGAGGTCTCCGAGCGTGAGAAAGCGGAGGTCGCCCAGCGTCTCGTGGCCAGAAAGCCCAAGACCCTTGAAGTTTAGGGCTTAGGGTTTAGGTTTTAGGGTTCAGGGTTTCGGGTTTAGGGCTTTGGGTTCAGGGTTGAGGTTTTAGGGCTTAGGGTTTAGGGCTTTGGGTTTAGGGTTTAGGTTTTAGGGTTTAGGGGTTTGGTTTAGGGTTTGGAGTTTTGGTTTAGGGTTTGGGGTTTCGGGTGTAGGGTTTAGGGTCGCATGGGTTTTGTGAGGGTCCAGTGAGGGTTTGAGGACTCGCCACAGGATCGGTCCTTATAGGGGTGCGAGGTGCTAAGAGGGTTTGGAGTTTAGACGGCAGGGCTTGGGGTTTAGGGTTCAGGGGTTCAAGATTTCGGGGCCGAAGTTTGGGGTTGGGGTTGAGGGAGTCGGGTTTAGGATTTAGGATGTAGGACTCGCTGGAAGAAGGGATTTGGTAGGGGTACGTAAGTCGGCGTTTGGGACTCCGGGTCAGGCAGTCGCATCTTTAGGCAGTAAGTGCAACATAACAGCCTAGTCTGTGGGTTGCTCCTCGTGAAGGTTTCTTTCGCTGTCCTTTCAAAGACCCCGAAACCCTAAACCCTAAACCCTAAACCCTAAACCCTAGTCCTGTGCCAGCGGTGAATTTTTTTGGACTAATCTACGTACCTCGTAAGGATGACGAATGTGCACCTAAACCTCCTAACCCCGAAACCCTAAAACCCCCCAAAAACTCATAGATCCTAGGCTCACTTTAGGGTTGAGGGTTAAGGGTTTAGGCTCCCCATACCTCTAACCCTGAAGCCTCACACCCTCAGCCCCCAAAGCTGAACCCCCGAAGCCTTGAATTACAACTCTTGTTTCTCTTAAGTTGTATCTCAAGAGGTGAAGAGGAGGGCCTCTCCGAGTGTGAAGCGACCTCGCTCCTCACCGCAACCTGGCTTCCAGAGACGGTCTTCGGGTTTCAGATCTTTACGAGGTTTGGGGTTCGGGCTTTGGAGTGTAGGGCTTGGGGCTTAGGGCGTAGGACCTAAAGTCTGTAGGTCAGATTCCATTCGACAGCTTTTCTCACAATACTTTCGTTCAAAGGGATCCTTTGATCTTATGCTTCATTCAGGGTTCGTTAGAGGTGTCTGTAGTATCTCCCTGTCTTAACCCTGGGGCTCCAAAGAACCCAAAGTAGGTACTATTTACAGACTATTACAGACTTTAGACCCCAAAGTAGGTACTATTTGTATACTTGGAGCCCTGGGGTAACGCTGAACAGCAACAATGCAGGATCCCTCCCGTAATTCAGTGATCTTGGCCTGGAGCCTGAGCACTGATGCAAATCAGGGGTGATACGATTCATGTACAGGTTTCTTTTGTGATTGAGGGTATGGCTACAGTCGTATGTCCATATTATACTGCATTATGCTATACTATATTATATTATATTATATTCTGTTCTATTCTGTTCTGTTCCGTTCTCTTCTATTAAACTCTCTTCTGTTCTCTTCTCTTCTATTCTATTCTATCATATTCTATTTTGTTCTATTCTGTTCTATCATATTCAATTATATTCTATTCTGTTCTATTCTGCTCTATTCTGTTCTGTTCTATTCTGCTCTATTCTGTTCTGTTCTATTCTGTTCTATGCTGTTCTATTCTGTTCTATTCTGTTCTATTCTATTCTATCGCATTACATTATATTAGACTGCATTGTACTACATCATATCATATTATATTATATCATGTTACATCATACTATGTTACACATTATTTTGTGTAATATTATATTGTATTATATTATGAATTTCTGTATTATATTATCTATTCTGTTCTATTCTATTCAGCTCTTTTATATTATTATTGAATATATCATATTATGCAATGTTTGATTATATTATATCACATTATATTATATCGTACTATATAATATTATATGTTCTATGATAGAATATTATATCAGAGTACAGTATACTATTGTATGTTCTACTATATTAGTTTTCAATCAATCAATATATATATATATATATAAATATAACATATAACATATAATATATAATGGATAAAATGAGTGTATATATATATATATATATATTATATATATATATAGTATCGTTCACCTATTACCTATTATTCAAGATATTATATATATATCACATTATATCATTTTATTTTTTTCGGTCATGTTTCATTATATCATGTCATTTTATATTATTATATTATATATTATTGCTTCTTTGACTGTCTGGTGGCTCTGAGAGCTGAGGAGCCGCGAGAAGAATAAGAAGTCCCGATCTCGAAGCCGTCGGAAGCGATCTCGGAGCCGAAGTGAGCGGAAGCGCCGGAGCCGGAGCCGCAGTGACCGAAAGAGACCGCGAGGTCGGTCTGGGAGTGACCGGAAGAAGGCGAAATCCGGGAGCAGGAGCAGAAGCCGAGATAAGAGCGAGAAAAAGCCTCGGAAATCCGGCTCCGGAAGCCGAGAGAAGGCAGAGAAGAAGGAGAGAAGCGAGGAGGACAAGAGGGAGAAAGGATCTCGTAGCAGAGATGCCGAAAAGGCAAAGGCAAAGAAGAGGAGCAGCAGCTAGTGACCTTGCGTGGTGGCAGCTGAGCATCAGCTCGTCTCTCTGCAAGTTGTGCTTCCGCTTCCCAAAACTTCCCTGTCCCTATCACTTGATGACTAGTCTGGTACCGACTGGAAGTGAACCGATCTTAGCATGGATTGCCACGTTAGGGAAGGGAGAGAGGCTGGACCGATTGCCTGTATCATGGAGCTTCGAATCTCAGTGCGAGATCTCGCAGCTACTTGCCATCGACGCGCAGGCCTTGCAAGGGAACCGAAAAGGGCGCTTCTTTGAGCCGTGCACCGCATCCCACCAATCCAAGAGCACGCTCCAAGCCTCAAGTAGTACGGCCTTGGAGTCAAGCTCCGGATTTCGCATATCGGGGCCTCAATACTCAATACGGTTGATGGACAAAATCCTGCATGACCCTATATACCTAAACTATGGGATTTATTGTACTATACTATATTTGGGTCATGCAGAATTTTGTCCATCAACAATATCTCCCACTATCATTCCTTAGGGCCTCCGAGAGACGATAGTAAAGAATCCCCCAAGCCCTATTGAAATCGTGAAGGCCCCTGTACTACTGTTGATGATATAAATCCTGCATTGCCTTAAGGATCCTCAACTACGGGAATTGTGGTATATCCCTTATCATGGGTAATGCCCCTAAACCCTAAACCCTAAACCCTAAACCCTAAACCCTAAACCCGAAACCCTAAACCCTAAACCCTAAACCCTAATCCTTACTATGGATAACGCGGGACTTCTATCATCAACCGTTTTCTGCGCGAAGCCTGGGCTTTTTTCCGGCTCTTCAAGCGGCGACAGGCGACGCTTCTGGCGCAGGTGAAGGCGCTCTTCCAGGCCGATGCCTAAAGCGGCCGAAGTCGCCGTTTTTGGATTTAGGGTTTGGGGTTTAGGGTTTAGGGTTGGGTTTAGGGTTTGGGGTTTCGGATTTGGGTTTACTTGGAAGGCCTCGGTTATAGCGAGGGCTCGAGGGAAGGTAACCGTAGTTCCGTTCTCAAGGAAGGTACTTGTAATTGTAACCCGATGTCAAGGATGCACCGGGTCTAGGACACCTGTCACTGCACCCCCCAGCCTAGACTGTAAATCCTGAGCCGTAAACACCCAAGCGTGGAGGCCGTTCAGAGCCCACCGTTTCAAGCCACCTTTCGCCACTTGACTGGTGGGGCGAAGCGCGCAAAGGAGGTGGGTCTGCCTTATGACAGGGTTCCTTGTAGGGCTAGTTGAAAAGCATATTATGGATTATAGTTTTTGGCAGAGGCTATATAACTGTAGGGATTATTATGCTTTTTGTGCTTAGCTCTAGCGGTTCATGCTCGGGATGAACTGACATTGCACTATAATATACTATAACTATAGTACACTCTAATAATGTACTGTAATCTACCAAAAGATACTACGATAATATACATCCTGGGGCTTTTGCCGTCTCTGCCTCGTGGCAGGCCTTCCTTCTCCAAGCGGCGCTTTGCCTGAAAAAGGGCAGCCAGAACAACTACTGGGACCAGCCCGGGTCCCAGGCACCTTTGTCGTGCCGTTATGTCGTGTTCTTGGGATTCTGAGGCCGGAGCTCAGTGAGCTTGCTGGGAAGCTGCGGAGATCTTTCTTTTATGCCCGGGCCTGTGCGCTTTGGATGTGATGCGAGGTGCCTGACTCCGATCCTGCAGCAAGCTCTGAAGTCGGTCGGTGAGGTCGAGGGCTACGGGGAGCTGATGGACGACTGGCTGCAGAGTCGTGTCAAGAAGCTGAATGAGGTGGGCCGATGAGTGCTTGGACGGCTTGGAATCGAAACGCATTTGTACAGCTTTAGGGGGGGATCAGAATATAGTACTTTGATGAAACTTGTGACTCCACCTATGAACCTCCTTGCCCTCTTGTTGTTAGAAGCCTCCATTGGAGGTGTGAGACTGCACTTTTGGGGTCCGAGCCCAATCAAGCCAAGCGGCCAGTGTCGCGAGGGCGAGATGTAGATGCAATCTTCCTCGTCGGAAGCTGCTGCGACTCTGTGTGCTAGTTAGTTTCATCGGTCTTTGCGGACCACTGAGTGTTGACCACTGTGAACCCCAACCCCGATCCGTGTGAACGTGAAGGCCAGGTAGGCATCGGGTGCGAAGGGGAGATCGGAACAGCTGAAGCCTCCTAGCAACCTGTGTTCCGGCCTTACACTGGTCATTTTTCCGCAGTTGGGATCTGCACGAACCGGTTCTTCAACGAGTAGCCGGTGTCCTGGTCTTCGAATCTGAGTTGCAAAATGTTAAGTGCCGGAATGCAGCCCTAGCTTCTGGCAGGACTTCCTGCAACGCGCCGTGGCAATGCTTGGGAACAGCCTGCCAGCAGTGCTGACTCGGCTGCGGCAGATTTTCAGGAGCCAGGGCGCGAGGGAACGGAGTAGGCAAGTGCAGGTGGAGTGTTGCGCTGAAGTGCGGGGAGGATAAGGGGCTCTGCTGTCCAACATTGCCTGAGCCCTGATGCCAAACGCTGACCAGGCCTGGCCGCTGGATATTCCTCTGCGACCCGAGATTGGAGAGTGCGACTTGACGAATTGCCTCTAAGGTGGGGTATTCTAAGGTAGTCATGCTCTTGTTCCGTCTAGGGTGGCTAAGTCAGCTTCCTGAAAGATGTGATGGGCATCGGCGGACCAAGGACTTGATCAACTTGTTCGATGAGGACACGTTCCCGCGCCACGTGTTAACATCCACCACCATCACCCAAGTACTGGAACGAGTGCCAGCTTTGGGTGGAGACGACACTCAGCAGCACTTCCCCTGTTTACCAAAGGGGCTCATCGGGTTTAAGACTCAGGATTTCCACATCTACAACGACATCGTTCGGTCACCACCGCTGCAGGCGCCCCTCTCCAGCGGGCCCATGGATCTCATCGAGTCGGCGCTGATGGAGGTCTTACGCCGGCTTCCGGGCTTCCCTCCGCTGCTGCGTCTGCCGGGACCGGGCCACTACCGATTCGGCCGTGTGGAGGTGCTCTTCCAGCTGGCCGGCACGGACCTCGCGGCACGAGTCCTCTCATCTCCAAACGCAGCCCCAATGCCAGAGGTCCTGAGAGCAGTGGATTTCTTCGTGCAGTTTGGTCCGCAAGAATTCCCGAATGCAGCGGTCGAAGCCGTCCAGAGCTCCGACTCCATGCACCTCTGCCCAACCACCGGCATCCAGGATGTCGGAGCGCCTCTAGCCGCTCCAGGGCTCATACGGCCGCCCATGAGCTTTGCTGTGCCACCCCCCGGGCCCCCCACTCAGCCTCTGATAGCTCCGATGGCTGTGGCCGGCATGGCTGTGGGCTTGGCTCCACCCGCCCCGGTGCCCATGATCCCCTTCGTGCGCCCTAAGTTCGGAATCGACGACGATGAGATCTAGATGCAGGATGGCTCTGCCCGGAGTGCAAAAAGGCTTGATGGCAGGCTGCTGTCTACTCCGTTTCATTGGTTCTACTTAGGACAGAAAGAGACATGTTCCAGCCTTGCCCAATACAGCCCAGGTTCAGAGTCACTCTGGACGAGCGAGATGGCTGGCACTCGTTCGCTTCATTCAAAAAGCATCAGCTCCTGGCGTGTCGCATCCGAGGCATGTTGGCATCCTGTTATATAGCCGTCTTAGAAGTATGACAGCCTCGTGACCCACAGGAAGCTGTCGTGTTTGCTCGCCGGCAGCTTGTTCTCGTTTCGCTTCCAGGGTGTAAGCTCCAGAGTCCCTAAATGAGCATCCTAAGCCTTGAGCATCCAAAGCTTATCAGCGAGCCCATGACCTGAGCCGAACAAGCAGCAGCATGTACAAGATCAGAGTTTACAAGACGCAGCATTGATGGTGCCTACCCAGCGCATTTCCTGATGGCGAAGGCACTTCCTCTCGCGTGCTCTTAGAGCTTGCTGGACTGAATGTGCGATGCAAGTGGCCGATGCATCCATAGCATCGGCAATGGATTCTGCAGGCTAAAGGCGTTGCGATCCGAAGAGATGACACTAGAAGAATGGAGGAGGAGGCAGTTTCTGTGCGCCGGCAGACTGGTTTCAGACGTTAACGGACCAAGCAAGTTGAAACGGTCCAACCAGCCTCGGAATTGCTTCCCTTACAGGCAAAGCAGATGGAGGCCAAGTTGGAGCTGCTAAGATGCACCATGGATGTGAGAGCCTCAGGGCCGATGTGTTGAGCTGAGATGGGGGTTTCCGAAAATAAGGGACCCTAATATAGTACCCTAAATACTAGGACCCTTATTATAAGGACCCCAAAATAAGGTACCCCTTGTTTTCGGAAAGTCCCATGTGTTGAGCTGAGATTCTAAGGGCTCTAGGAGGGACCCTGAATAGGGACCATTGTAGGTTATTGGGTCCCTATTAGGGTCCCTCCTAAAGTCCTTAGAGAGATGGTCTCCGCTTCATTGTCTCAGGTGGCTGAGCAGTCGGCAAAGGGTCCCGGACTCAGAGCTTAAAGTCGACTATGCTATGCTATAGGGTTTAGGGTTTAGGGTTTAGGGTTTAGGGTTTAGGACTATATGGGAGTTTCCGAAAATACGGGGTACCTTATTTTGGGGTCCTTATAATAGGGATCCTACTATTTAGGGTACTATATTAGGGTCCCCTATTTTCGGAAGCCCCCATATTATGCTATAGACTCGACTGCACGATAACATGCTACAGTATACCCTCACTTATTTTAATGTACTATGCCGTGCATACCATACCGTGCGGGCCCGCCCTTCAGCACGAGCTGCTACTGAGGGGCGGATGCTGGAAGGTGCGAAGTGCTGGGCTTTACTGCGCTGTGCCATTTGTGCTTGCAGCAGACGATGTAGATGCCCTGAGCAGTCCAAGGCCAGAAGCCCACACTAGTAAACTGGTGTGTCGTTCTTCCCATCATGTTGACAGTACTATTACTGGATCATGTTCTTGATTCGGCTTTCTCTCCCGACTGCCCAGCAACTCTAGCACAAGTGTCTGAGAAGGGTAGTCAGGAGTCAGGTGTAAAGCTCCTAGAAGCTGCGGGCAGGTGGCGTAGCGGAGCGAGTGGCAAGCCACTCACAAAAGGCTACATCAAGAGTGTGTTGGAGGCTCGCAGTGACAGCGAAGGAAGAAATCGCAGAACTGAGTCGTAGAGCAGAAACTGCAAGAGTGGTCGGAATTACGTGCACGAGCTGAAGCCCTGGCCACACCAATGGGAGAAGCGAGACAATGACAGACAAAGTAGTGCCAGTTCCAGCTACAAGAAGTAGTAGGCGCAAGAGGTTCGGCTTCCAGTGGTCTGCCCCTGCGAAATCAGTCATGGGTTGAGCTCTAGTTAGCCCTTTTTCTTATGAGGCCCAGGGTTCCGGGATTTGGCACGGGTAGATTTTCAAGCAACGCCTGTGTTCAACCACCCCGTGCTTCGAAGTTGCAGACATGGTAGGTTTGAAGAAACAGTGGAAGTTCGAATCTCACAGAGTTCAGTTTTCCCTGAAGCCTGAAGCCTCTGAGTATCCCCTGACCCCTGAACGCTTGACTCACCCTACAACCTAAACCCTTAACCCGAAGCCCCCACGCCCGAAACCCTAAGTGCTGCGACCTCGGCCAAAAATAACACCAAATCCTAAACCTTTTGAACCCTAAACCTTAAAACCCCAAACCTTGAGCCCTAAACCCTACAAACCCTAAACCCTATAAACCCTAAACCCTAACTAAAACCCCACACCCCACACCAAAAGCCAAGAGCATTGCCGCGAAGGCACGGCCCCCGAAGCGAAGCCCGAAGTGGCCGCGCCTCGCTTCGGCAGAGCTTTGGGTGGAAGGGTGTGGACACGGCTCAAGGGGATTGGGGTGAGGGTTGAAGCTCTCGGGTTCAGGGTTGAGGGTTTACCGGGTTTTTTGGTTTATGGTGTAGGGTTTAGGGTTGAGGGTTACGGTTTTTATGGTTTATGGTGTAGGGTTTAGGGTTGAGGGTTACGGTTTTTAGGGTTGTGTTTTGGGGACTTCGAGGACCGCGCATCTTGCTCGGCAAAAGTCTTTCCTAAGATTGATTGTCGTGCGGTTGCATCGCTCAGAGATTCTCGGTTCGGCTGTTTGCTTTATCGTCTGAGGTTCAAAAGAAGTTTTCATGCAGGGTTCGGCACTTGTGACACACTCGCAATTTTGTGGTTGTGAGTTGTGGGCATCGTATTTTCACCAGTTATTAACATTCATCAATCTGAGGCCCGGGATTCCGGCCCTGTCCGTGTTTCAGAAGATGCAGCAGAAAATGTAGAAGATCTCACCATGTATATATATATATATGTTTACATATATATGTATGTATGTATATATTGTGTGTCTACCTATCTATCTATCTATCTATCTATCTATCTGTCTGTCTGTCTGTCTGTCTGTCCATCTATCAGTCTGTGTATCTATCTGTCTGTCTGTCTGTCTGTCTGTCTGTCTATCTATCCATCCATCCATGCCTCTATCCGTCCATCCATCCAGCCATCCATCCATCCGCTCCTCCATCCATCCATCCATCCATCCATCCCTCTGTTTTTTCTCACTCTCTCTCTCTCTCTCTCTCTCTCTCCCCCTCTATCTATCTATGTATCTATCTATCCATCCATCCATTGATAGTTTATCTAACTATCTATCTATCTATCTATCTATCTGTCTATCTATCTATCTATCTATCTATCTATCTATCTATCGAGATCTATCCATCTATCTATCTACCTAGCTGTCTATCTATATACCTACCTCATCTATCTATCTATCTATCTATCCATCTATCTATCTAACGCTCAGGCTGTTTGCATCTTGAATGACTGGCTCTGTGGGTTGAGCGGACTGTATGACAGGTCGCCGACGGAGTCAGCTGGCAATGACAGCACGCCACAGGGCAAGGAAGAGGCTGCTACATAATTAGCACTGAGACATTTTAGGATCACCCGTGATATATATTTCATCAAAATACTTTAACCAATTTCGCAAGGAAAGATGGTTCTTCCTAAGCCGACCGTCATGGTGTGGTAGCGTGTAGCTGTCGTTGTCACTGCGGTCGATGTGTCTGCAGGTGCCTCTTGTCCCGGCCAGCAAGCTGGTGAGTTCAAGCCCTTCCGGCGTTCCTTGCTCAGACGCAAACAGCTTCCGGAATGGAACGAGAGACCCTAAGAATTTTTGATCGTGTGAATGTTTCGTTATAGAACAGCAGCAACAACAAGTAGTACTACTGCTACTACTGCTACTGCTACTACTGCTACTACTGCTACTACTGCTACTACTGCTACTACTGCTACTACTGCTGCTGCTGCTACTACTGCTACTACTTCTACTTCGACTTCTACTTCTTCTTCTAAGGCTGCTGCTAATGCTACTGCTGCTACTACTACTACTACGACGACGACGGCGACTGTACTTCATTCCCACTTCATCTATCTCTACTACTACGACTATGACGCGGACTCTACCAGTGCTACCAGTACTGCTGCGATTGTTTCGGGTTTATTTTGAAGTTTAAACAAAGGGCCATGGGTACCGCATGTGGCAGCTCCGTGTTCAAGCTGTGCCACCTGGTCTGAACCTAGGTGCTTAGATGTGCAGGGTTTAGTCCGAGCGAATCCTGTTTGCTTTCGTTGCTATGCTGATAACCCTAAACCCTAAACCCTAAACCCTAAATCCCTAACATGACTGTGCCAAGGTCGGCGGAAAGGCAGCTGCGAACCTTCAGGCAGCTGCTCGAAAGGGGACAAATACCCGACTCCCTAGCTGAAGCCGTACGGAAGCAGCACGTTTAGGGTTTAGGGTTTAGGGTTTTTAGGGTTTAGGAGCAGCACTACAGAAAGCAAATGGATTCGTCGTATGTGCACGGAAACGGAGGCATAGGCGTTGCACAGAGACGTTTTACCATGGTCTAGGACATTTTCAGGTGGGTAGTTACCGTTATAGGAGCCTTGTAGAAGGTCTATATACCTTATGGAAGCCTTATAGAAGCCCTAAAAAACCCGAAACTCCCCACCTGTTGTTTCCTTTTCCATGGGTCGCAAACCCTAAACCCTAAACCCTAAACCAACCCTAAAACC